CTCTCTCTCTCTCTCTCTCATTAGGTCCGAAAGCGCACACTAGGCGTCAAAATCATGTTTCATATGATTGAATACGTGGACGACCTATACGTGCTGGACGAGGACTGGCGGCACCCGGACTTTCAGCGCCTGTTAGACCTATCGGTGGTTCACATCATTATAATCAACGACTTCTACTCATTCGAGAAAGAACTACACGACCGGAAGGGCGACTTGGCTCAGGTGTGCAACTATATCACTGTATTAGCCCGAATCGACGGCATATCTATTGAGCAATCGATGGCTAAATTGGTGGACCAGTTGACGGCATTAGAGGTGAAGATCATTCAGTTAAGGGACGAGCTGGTGGGTAGGGTATGGGTGGGTACCGATACCTAGGTGCTAATTAGTCGTTTTGAGTATATTTTAAGCGGTAATTGGAAAGCATCTAGTTTAATTGATCGATATAATAAAATATCCTGATAATTTATCTGAAAGTAATTTTATTAATATACAGTATAATAAACATCATGGTATGTTTTTAAAATTATATTGTACTTAATTTAATATAATTAATATTTAAAATAAATAAATATGATTACTATTTATACAAAAGGTATAATAATTAATTAAAAATTAGCAATTAGTTTATTAATTGTGTGTTAAAGTTAATTATTGCATGGAAAATTTTACATTCAATAAGTTTAATAACATTTATAATCATATCTGATATCTGTATCATAAGATGAACAGGTTCAAAAATTCTCATTATTATTATTTCAAAAACTCTAATTCATTGCAATTTAATTGTATTTCTATTATTGTATTAAAAATATAATTAAAATAATGAAAGTGATTATATTATTAACTCTAGTTTGCAGTACTTGTAAGTATTTATACTAGATAAAATTTAAAATTTTAAAAATTAATAAAATCTAATTTAATAGACTGTAGACCAGAGCCAATATCTAAAGAGGAACCGGAGGCCAGGGCTGCCAAACTCGAGGCTCGCCTTGAAAAAGATCTAAAACGCTTGTCTCCACTAGTTGATCCTGGTGAAATAATTGAGTTAAACGCCCTTGATGCTGAACTACGTATACTATCCGGGGAACTACAGCTCGCATTTGAACCCCACTTAATACAGGCACTGGAGGTCCGGCTCCTGGACCTCGAGAATCGGGTCGATAAAGAGCTCAATAGGATTGAGAAAATACTTGACTCTCGTAC